GTGTTAAGGGTTATCTGGGACAGTTTTGAAGTTGATATGTCCAACCTGCTAGGAATAGTACATTACACCATAAAACGTGCAATTTCCTGTTGCCAACAGGTGGTGCTATGACTTTGAGTGAATAGTGGCATGTGGATGTTTTCAGGACGGAACGTTTATAATACATTCCAAATTTGGTGCAGATGTGAGCATGTATACTGAAGTTACAACTTCCTGTTTTATGGCAAATCATTGATTTTGGAAGACATGCCACAGACAAAGTGGTCGACTGATAATAACCATTTGTTCAACTTTTAATCGTCAGTGGTTTTAAACTGCACAGCAAAAATTTGAAGTCGATCGGACGAAATCCCTTGGCGGAGTTAGTTAAATTACAAAGTGTGTAAATCTCCAAAATTACCATTAAATCCAAAGCGTCTGACTTCCTGCTGGGTGTCGTGCATCGCTCCAAGAGGCTTTTTTGTACATCTGGACATGATACACGTACCACTTCACTACCACCGTGAAACTTTGTCCTGGGGCTGCTCTGTAGGGGGCGCTAGCGAGCCATTTTCCCACGCCCATGTGCAAAACCCATAAAATACAAAATTTTTAGCCTGAATTATGATGCAAAGTTTGGTGAGTTTTCGAGCACATTTAGGCCCCCGAAATTAAGAAGACAAGTATCAAAACACAACCACACATTTCCAGGACTAATTCCCATGCTATAAAATGTGTTCAATTGTTGTGATATGTCTGATTTTATTCAAATTCTTTTACTGTTTTATAATGGTACAAAAAACAGTGAAACTGTATAAAGACGATAATTGCCTTTAGGACATTGTTTACTGTGATTATGCATTCTTCAGAGCAGTGGGCGGTACTCAGCTGTCCCTCACATCAGAGCCCCGCAGTACCCATAATCACAGAAAATATTGTTGACTCGAGCGTTTTTGCAAAACTGTATATGTGTAGGTTGTTGGGAATCTGTAGAGGAATCTATAAAAGGCATTAAGGCATTTGCAGAAAACGGCTGGTTGCTGAAGAGGCAGAAACATGGTACCCATAACCTGAACATACTCTTTCTCTCAGAGGCTCTCTCTGGAGTTGATGGCTGGTTCCTGCTGCAGGCCACTACAGACACATAGTGCACAACACAGATGGTGAAATAAGGCACCAACGGCTCCAGTCAAAACATTGAATGTGTCATAATAACATTTGTGCCATAAGTTATGATTTTTTGCAGGCAGCAACGCTGTCATTCTACATAAGACACACTTAGCTTTAATGAACAGTAGTGGGTCTACAGGCACACACACACAAATCCAGCCTCTTCATACATCACCACATTAATATTTGTTGATTTAGAAATGCAGGCTTGTGAATGACACAGAGCAGGATTCGCTGAATAATCCCCTTTCTGGTGCACAAAGGCATAACTTAAGCTGCTACAGTGAATACTAAGTCTCTCCAGCCTGGCATGCATTGGACTCTTTCACACCCGAGCAGTTCAACTCGGTCAGATTGGCCTGTCTCTTGACTCGACACAAACACATGTTTTGTGGAGGTACTACTGGAAAGATACAGAGCACTATTTATCAAAATGGAGTTGGCTGGAAGTCTAATCTCAAACTGTATCCCACTCTCTTATTTATGTCACATAGACACATACTGTACATATACATACAAAAATGCACACAGTCCTTCTAGTTAAGATAAAAACACAGGCCTGGAGGAACTGTGCTGTTTTTCACTTTATCCAGACAGAACCTCAGCCACAATTTATCGTCACTCCCAACACCAATCCTCATATCACACAAAGAAGTATGCAGAAGGCCAAGACGACAATATAAATTGATGAACCAACAAAAAAGTGCCCCTGTATAGTAAAGGATATCCCTCAAAAACACTGACTGCTGCCATCAATCCCCAATAGCGTAAGTGGAATGGATAAGATAGTAATTTGAAAATGAATCAGCATTTTTGCTGATGACAGTGTGAAACCCAAGGCTTTCAAAAATGGCCATTAATCTACCTCAGTTCAGAGTTTCAGCAGAGAAAGATAAGTTGTAGTTTAACAAACACCATCATTATATGAATAGAGGTTTAGGCTTGTCACAAGGTTACTCAGTCATTTATTAAATAATAAGCTAGACCAACTGAGCAAAATGTTTTGCTCTTTACATCTGAGATGTAATATTCGGTATTTTGCTTGATAAATTACAGCATTATTTGTTTCCCATTAATCATTTATTGACTAATTGCTTAAGCACTAAATGAATTCCACATGACTTCAGATAATTTCATATCATCATAACCTGACACTGAGCATACTGGAATTTGAAGTACAACAATGAAGTCCACGTTTTCTTTTCTCAAAAATGCCACACTGAAATCAGCTTGTGACTTGGCTGTAGCACCAGTGTTCTGTGTTTTTGTGGTCGTTCACCCATAACTGTAGGAGTTCAGGAAATTAATTATGAATCATAGTTTGACTGACAGGTCATTTGACACCTGAAAGAAAGAAAAAACACGCAGTCTATTCCACACAGGTGTGTGACTGGTCCTTAAAATCACCCAGTGATTAACATCCCACCATGCTTAGTGTAGTGTGTAAAAATCCTGGGCAGACCCAGCTGCTCATTATTTTGGCTCCTGTGGCTCAAAAAAGAAATCTGTGACTTTTATAGAGGGCTGATTGTTGCTGCTGTAGCTTCTGTTCTGTGATACATTGTTTGACTTAATGATGTTTGATGATTGGAAATGCAGCAAAGGTGATGATGGCATGAACATGTGTTGAAACAGCCACCTGCAGAACAGGCGCATATATTCCTCGACTGTGATCTTTTTGCATTATTTCCAGGTGCAAGAAAAAACTGACAAGGCACTATGAAACAACTCACTACAAATGAGGTGGAAGATGGCAGTGTGTCACAAGAAATGTATGTATGTCACAATGTGTTGTGCAAGAACAAAAGCAGTGTTTTTTTTTGAGGAGGAAAAAAACCTTGGATGGTTAGATGAGTCACCGTTCACCCTGTTCTGAACCAGTGGTGGGCTACATGTGTGTCACGCATGAAAAGAAATCTATTCGCCAAAGTGCTTATTTCCCACAGTGAGGGCTTCTGTCAGAGCTGTTCTGGTGAGTGGTCCTGGCATGGTTTACATCCATTCTGTCCCTTAGCAGTCAGGTAAATGCCAAAACCTTCAACGGCCGTCAGTGTGACCGCATTTCTTAAGCTTTGGTATTTCTGTCCTGATGACTGAGGAATGCATCTAAATCCACAGGCAATCAAAGGTCTTTAAGTTGTTTGAGAAGCATGGAAATCATGTTTACTACCCTGGCAGTAATATTCACTTGTTCTCAATCAAGCATAGCACTACAGAGAATTAATGTTTCTGACCACCTTTTAAAGTTCAAATGGTTGAACTTCTTGTGAAAGACTGTCACATTTCTCCAGTTGAGCTTCAGGTTTTGTCAGAATCCCAAAGCTCAGTGCAGCAGCTCAGGTGGCTCATGGTGACCCAATGCCCTATTGAGACACTTATTGGTGTGTGGCCTTAATTTTAGCAGTAGCCAGCGTATCACAGTGCACTAAACTAATCCAGACCTGGAAATGAATGTAATTCCAATTTAACTTAAAAGACAGTTGAAAATGAATTCTTAAGGAGCAGTATTTTTTTCTGCATAGAGGATGATATGCATAAATGCATAACTTGATTTAAGACATTTTTATTTCTCATATTACCATTTTTCTCTGAGTTTTCACACATTTAAAGAACCCACTGGTACTGAGCAATAAATGGTTATGTATAACAGGCACTAATCATACTATTAAAAAAATCTTTGCTGAAATGTGTGCAGTATTTACAAATGATTCAATTCACCATTTGATCATCATACTCCCAACCCACTCCAGCAGGACAGACTATGCTTATATATGCATGCCAATATTGAGGTAACCGACCGTAAATTCTACCTATTCTTAAACACTTCAACTGTGTCCTTCATTTTACCAGCAGGTTGTAAAATCACCAGATGTGAATATGAAAGCGTACACTTGAGGACAAACCGGTTAAGGTTTAAGTGGAATGCTTTTGGCTGCAGCAGAACTAGCAATTTCAGATGTGATGGCTGCTCCAAATGCAGCTCCCTCTACCCATTTCAGCCAACATACAAGTATTTTCAGCATCAGGGCATTTTCAGCACCTCCCACTGATGGACAGCTCCTATTCACATGTTTTGACTGTATTGCCAAAGCAAAAACTCTGGGACTACACAGTTTAAATTAAAAAATTCACTCTTCTGGTACTCTTCTGGTTAACCTGCTCAGGTTGTAGTAGATAAATGACAACCTTATTTCTGTGTATCACCCATGGGTGGCTTTGATGGGGTTTTGCAGACATACTGGGTCAACAGTATGGGGGGGGGGGGAACAAATGCTGTAGAATGAAGCTTGACCTAAAGCTTTCGCTTTGCCACATTCTCACACAAAGCGCCCTTCCTGTGGGCCAGCCTGCCCACCTGGCCAATCCAGCGATATTTTTTGCTGCAAACGTGTATGCTGAGAATACCTGAACTGAATTTGAATTACCATATGACGTAGGCCTTTATCTAGCAGTAACGTCCTGCTGGCAACAGGGACTACCACAGACCATACAGTCTATACCAAGCGCTCAAACACACAATTTGTTGCACCAGCTACTACCCACACCTCCTCAACCCCCTTTCCGTTCCTATCTATCTTTATATCTATCTATATTTATCTATCTCACACATACATTCAGAAACACGCACAATGGCTCACACACGTAAAAGGATGCGACAGCTATCATAACCTACCTGATGAAAAATGGAAAAAGGACATTCAAAAAATAAAGTATCTTTCTTTACATTGAAGCATGTGAACCAACCACAAATCACAGATTAAATAACGATGAATACTCGGTCTACATTGGAATATACAACAGCATATCACGCCGAATAGGCGCAATTGAACTGAATTCAATGAAATACTTACGCATTTTTTCGAATAAATGAAATCGGGGTTGAGAGCAGTGAAGGAAAAATCAGCAGGGCCCCGGTCCCCGTTTTAAACATTTGCAGTACGACCGAGGCACAAATCTCCATGTGAAAGGGATTTGAGGGTGCTGCAGTCCGCGTCTCTCTCGATCACAAGTCAAGATGCTCTCCTGCGAAAAATGCCAAACATTTAAAAGAGTTGCGTGGATATGCGGTGCGGCCACTATTCCCTCGGATCTACTGAGCGCCGATGAAAGCCCACAGAGGACCAGCAGTAACCCCCTGGACTTGAAGATATTCCTGTGGACTGATGAGGAGGAAATCCTGCAGAGTTTTGTGTTGGGGATCAAGTCTGTATAGGCCCTTCTTTCCCCCAAACCAGTCACAGTCCAGAATTGACTCCCACCAGTGGTTTCCTCTAAAACCGCTAAATGAAATTCGACCAAAAAAACAAACAAACAAAAAAACAAAGTGGACGAATTCTTTTGGATTTAGCAGTCAGGCTGTTTCTTTCCTCGGAACATTTTCTCAAAACAAATTAACAAGATCAGCGGACAGACGTGACAGTTAACAATTACCTATTTAAAGCATGGTTGATAAGGTCAGTACAGAAAGGGGTGCAGAAGCGTCCTACAAAAAAACCTGAGAACGCCTATTGGATAAAATTAAGGATATCCGTCCCACTGCAACCATCACACGCGTCGCATCAGGACAAACGGGTTGCCATAGGCTACTCTGAAAATCGCAGAGTATATGCCATACAGTATTTTCTATCATGCAGCTTAGAATGGGAAGAATCCACGGGACGCTATTTTCCCCCAAAAGCAATCCGGTGAAGGCTATTGATTACATAAGCGCAGCTATTAGTAATAATTCCACTTGTCAGCGTGTCCGATCCGGGTGGTATGGCAGCAGCAGCATCATCCGTGTGTTGCAAATAAAGCGGGGTTTTGCCACCGGCTCCTAATGGTTCCCTTGCTCGCTGCAGTCCATGACTTGAATAGCGAGCACGTTGAAATCACGGTCTCCAGGCACAGATCGGCCGCGCGCGCGCGTGCGAGTCACGTGTGCGTGTGTGTGTGTGTGTGTGTGTGTGTGTGTGAGTGCGTGCGTGTGTAGGTAGGTGCCCGCGTGTGTAGGCGTGAGCGTGTTCCTGTATTGCCCAGGGACTACTTTAACTCTGACCACTTTGCCTGCGCGTCCTGCCCATTTAAATCACCCAGTGGTCGTTAATTATCAGGGATCAATAGCATTAACGCGTAAAGCCCAGATCTGATGTCTCTGAGTGCATGCGTGCCCGTGCATGTATGATTCAATTGTTGATGAGGTATGGTTGCCACCTACAGGCGTTAGTCTCTATCCAGTCATCTAGAACGGACCATTTCTACTGTTTGCATCCACAAATAAATTCACATTCAACATGTCACCTAGATATCAGTTCTTTTCCACCTTAAAAGCATAGATAGTTATATCCACCATGTTAAAATCAGCGGCAAAATAAATCACAATTAATGCTTTGAACTTACTGCAACTTCACATTATTTTCCAAACTCCTATTTTCAATGAAAAAGGTTTGTGCAACCAATTTATTCCTTTTGCGAATACTGTCAGAAGCAAACAAAAGTAACCTAGGCAACCTCTGCGTGGCTGGAACCTGCTTACTGATTGCCTTTAAAGGTGTTGGTCAGATAAAGAGAAAACATCATCCACTGCCAAGAAGGATAGGTATGGAGGTTTAGTAATCAGCGGACCTGCAGATACACAAGGGAGTGTGCATCCATTTGATCTGAGATGAACAGCCTGTCTCATTAGATGACATAATGAACTGCAGGTAGCCTACGTGATAGAGCAGCTCCTGGTCACAGAGGCCACGCTGCTTTATGAGACAGAGAGAGAGAACAAAAATCAATATAAATCTGTTATAATGGAATTGTATTACATGTTGTTCTGATCACACAAAAACAATCAAATGAGAGCTGAGTGACAGGCAAGAAAAACCCGACAAGGCACTATGAAACAACTCACTACAAATGAGGTGGAAGAAGGCAGTGTGTCACAAGATGTCACAAGTACCTAAAGTAAGTGATTACAGTTAAATTATTGGTGAGACATGAAACAATGAAAAGATTGATCAAACTTAATGGTTTGAATATTATCTGAATCATATACTACATATACATATGCCCTTTGCTCTTCTGACCTCAATCCAGGTAGTCACTAGATTTTGTGTGAAGTGATGTGAAAGTGCTTTCCACCACCATCATCAACACCTGTTAAAGGAATTGGGGCTGCAACTTTAATGGTTATTCTCATTATTTTGTTGATTAATCATTTTGTCTATAAAAGGTTTATTAAAATTATCACAATTTTGTAAGTTGATGACATCAGAATGCTTGTTTTGTTGGGCCAGGATTCTAAAACCCAAAATTCAATTGGATTAAGAAAACCAGATAGTCACTGTTGAGAGGTTGTCACTGGTGGATTTTTAGCATTTCTGCTTAAACAAGACTTAAAGGGAGAGTAAGTTATTCTGCAGAAGGATTGTTGATATTTGAACTCAATTGCCAAGCACACAAACACCTCCCTTCATTGCTCCCTCAGAAGCTCCGCCCACCAAGATATCAAATTTCTGAGGTTTCTCCAGCATTGAAACACCTTCACCTTGCCTCATCATATAACATTCATTTCTGTTTATACTTTTCAGAACTTTTCCACTTTGGCCATTTTTCGGCCATTTCTCCTTCACAGTGCCTGGAGTAGAGGTAGCAAACCGTGAAGAAATATTCACTGAATTTCAAAAAAAAGTGTATTGGATTACAAGCACTTACTATACCTTTAAGACTATAGCTGCCCTAGTGGCTCTGTGAGCCTCACTATAAATCAACAACAAACAAACTAGACTGGTTAGATAAACAAAAGTATTGGACAAATTGAAATTTTGACTCGATGATGGTGCCAGATAAAAAGTGAAGACATTTCATTAAGACAATACATGTCTGCACCAAATTGCATACCAATCCATCCCAGAGTTGATATCAATCTAGCTAGCTAGCTAGTTATCTATATACATGATTCTGTGAGTTGTAATGTATACCAAGACACTCATCTACAACATTTATGAATATATATATTTTTAAAAGCACTTATGTAATGTATGTATTTATTCACTGTATAATGAATAACATAGGAAGGTAGGCAAAGCATTCCTAAACCTAGGTGCCATTGCTTGGAGCGAACGATCCCCTCTGGTTTTAAAATGTGTGTGGGGAACCACTAACAACCTCTGATCTGATGACCTCAAACTATGGGTCGGAGTATGAAACTGTATCAACTCAGATATGTAAGGAGGAACTTGATCGTGCCGGCTCTAAAAGTAAGGTCCATGATTTTAAATTGAATTCTATACTGGACTGGTAACCAGTGAAGTGCTGCTAAAACAGATCTGATGTGGGCTCTTTTGCCTGGAGACGGTAAAGCTCCTTCTTGCTCAAACAAGTAAAAAGACTGTTACAGTAATCTAAACGAAAGGAAATAAAAGCATGAATGATCATATCCAACTCACCCTTTGACACCAGTGTTCTAAATTTGAAACTATTCCTTAGTTGGAAGAAACAGTTTCTGACTAGTTGTTTAGAGTGGTACTCCAACAACACCTAAGCCGAACAGACGAGCCTAAGTCACCAATATGCTGTTTAATCAGAGGGATTCTACTTTCAGGGGCGATAATCAGTGTTTCTGTTTTCTTGAGTTCAGAAGCAGGAAGTTGTTACATAACCACTGTTTAATACTGGTCAAGCAGTTAGTTTAAGAAGACAATTTATGGAACTCAGTTTATTTGAACGAGCAGTACAGTTGAATATCATCCACATACAGATGGTAAGATATGTCACTGAATTGACTAATTATCTGTCCTAGAGTAAATATATACAAAAGGAACAGGATGGGACCCAAGACAGATCCCTGAGGTACCCCACATGACAACCCTGCAGTTTCAGACATGATCGGATTTACATAAAAACTAAAACTTCTACCAGAAAGGAATGATGAAAACCATTTTAAAACTGATCCAGACATCCTAACCGGATCATGGAGTCTATTTATCATAATGATGATCAACAGTATCAAAAACAGATAAAAGGTCCAAGAGAACCAAAACTGTGTATTCCTTAGCTGACATCAGAATATCACTAGAAACTTTAAGTAATGCAAATTTCTAGAATTTTTGACATGAATGGAAGTTTGGATATTGGCCTGTACCCTCCTGGGTTGTAATGGATCCAAACTGGGCTTTTTAAGTACAGGCTTAACAACAGCATGTTCAAAAAAACTAGGAACAACATCAGTTAAAAGTGAGGTATTAAGCAATTAAACAATACAGGGACCAATAGAATCAAACGCTTGTACAAATAGCACAGAAGGGAGAACATCCACAGGACAAGATGAAGGTTTCAATGTATGTTGCAGAGAGGTGATGTCATGTAATGTCACAGGTTTAAAAGAGGACCAAGAATGAGCAGGAGACAGGTCACATGGAGAGTTCTGAGAAAGTGATGGTGAGATGTTTGTCCTAACATCTCTGATCTTACTTACAATAAAAATTTGATTTCTGACTGAATCCAAGTGAGAGTCCCAACCTTAGAATAAAAGCTCAACTCTGTCTCTGCTTCTATGTATCATTCCTAAAACAAAGCAATATGGTCTTTATTTGGTGGACATTCATAAATTCTTATGTTTCCTTTTTACTCAGTTAACAATTATTCAGCTTTAGGATCCTGAACTGAAAACCGTTCCTACACTCTCATAAAACATTTTTGTGTCCTTTTCACATCAGTGAAAGTCAAAATGTTCCTCCTCATGCATAACTAAAAGGGTATCTTGTCAAAACACAAGCCAATTTCACATAGATTTAATATAATCCTTGTCTAAGAAAGCTAAATTAGTGGAAATCTCATCTGAGAAAAGTTTCATTGGCTCTGATGAAGTCATATCCAAACTGGACCTTTGTGGGTTTCACATTACCTATATTGAGGCATAATTGGACTTATAATTTTTTATACGATGCACGAATATTAATCTGGTTACAGTTACATAAGAGACTTGTAAGAGACTTTTACAGTCTCCTCTACAAACACTAGAGATGCATTTGATGTATTTTCTGTTATCAGCATTTTATTCATGCTTTGATGAAATATGAATTTTAATTCCTCGAGATCTCCTGAGCAGAAAAATTAAAAATAAAAGCACATGGAAGAAGGGGAGGGATACATACCCTGGGTTGCTGTAAATGAAAGCCTCAGCAAATCTGCACAATCAAATCAATGTCAACCACATGCTGCTTCAACAATGTACTCCCTCATCACAAAGTTTTTCATACAAGGACAATATAATATACGGTATGTCTTATTTAGCCCTATTTGAATCCATACAACAGCAATACTCAGTGTCAATGCCAGAGATTTCCAGCCCACAAGTGACTTCTGGGCGGTAAATCAACACATGGAGTTTGAAGCGTATTTGACAGCTTGACAGCTTCTATTACTTCTATTTTCTATGCAAATGCCAAAGTTGGAAATGGTTTGGACCACACTTGTGTTCCTATGAATTTTTCTGTAGGATTTTTTTCTTGAAGTTACGTGGTTAACTGAATCTTAGTGCATATTAATACAGTTTTAGACAAGATAAATTTCCATTTTTGGATACAGATAGATTCATGGACAGACAGACAGACAGACAGACAGACAGACAGACATATTGCAAGCATTGTATCACATTTTATCATCCTCACTGAACTTGAAATAGTTTTCATATAACTGCTTGAGACATGATAAAAATAAGAATATTGAAAATTTAAAATAGCTTTATGCTTCATTCAGTCTTCTGGGAGGAAAACAGTTCTTCTAACTGACTTATTTAGACATCCTGGCTTTAAAGTCTGTCAGACAAATTGAAGGACACAGATGGGAAAAGCTATGCAAAAGTGTTTAACAAATTATGGGCAGCGATGGCTTTAGTTGA